GGGGGGGGGGGGGGGGTAAATATCCAAACTCAGAATAATAATACAGTAAATAAAATAATAAACAGGCAGGAAATATTCCATATTAATCATTGCACTCCTTGAGCCAGTCTACAAAATCCCAGTGTTTCAAGGAGACAAGAGTTTGCAACACCAAACACAATGCTCTCAAGCTTCATCGCAACTGCTTTCCAAAACATTCCACAGAAGAAACAGGAAATACTGAGGAAACAGTTTTTGAATACACGTTTCCTTTCCTTTCTGGAAAGTATTCAAAATTCTGTCTCACCAAAGCCTTTACAGACACCAAGAGAAGCACGTGGCAGACCTGCTCTGCATAGCGACTCACCTTCACGTGGCTGAAGTCACCAGCTCTGCTGCTCTCAGGCGGGTTCACAGGTTTGCTCTCCACACGGGGCCGAATGACCTGTCGAAAAGGGCTGGACAGGGGAAAGCCGCTCACACTGATTCCATCTGAAAAATGAGAATAAAAATTGCAAGTGAGACGTCCGCGTGATCCTTCCAAAGGTAGGGATTTCAATTCATAACCAGTAACCAGAAGGAGCACTCAGTTTCTGTCCTCACTTCTCCACCTAGCCTCAGTTAACAACTGCCCGAGGAATCTTCCATGGGCACATGTTCACAACTACCACGCACAAGAAGGACACAGCTTACCACCTGTGCCTGACCTTTGTGCCCGCATCCTCCCCTCAGGCCTTCAAAAGAGCTGCTACCTCAGTGGGAAGCCTCTCCCCTCCCTCCTCCAGGCCGGCTCAGTCCTGCTGCCACTTCATCTTAGTCTAAATGCCACCTCCTCCCCCAATTTCAAGTAGCCACTACTCTCTGCCAGGGACCCTATTTAAACCTCCAAGGAGCATTTGCTGCCTCTGACCTTTTTCCTACTTGTTAACGTTATCTCCCAACTTGTCTGTCTAGCCCAGGACTCATCTTCAAGTCCTCTCTTTATCTAACCCCATGGGAAGCCCTGCCAACTCCCCAGCACTCCCAGGAACGGCTTTCATGGCCAGCCCCTTGGTCTTAGCCATGGTCACGTCCTTCCAGGACTAATGATGTAGTCTCCTGGCTGTTCTCCCTTGTCACCCTTGCTCTTTGCCATCTGCTCTCCACACGGTAGGCAGGGGTAGCCTGCTGAAATGTAAACCACACTGTGACCCTCCCATGACAACTGTTGTACTCAAGAGGAAATGCCAAAGTCTGTGCAGGTTTCCAAGGCCACCATGTGATGTGGCCAACAGTCACCCCTTAATTCCCAAATAACTGAGGACCCCAGCTGAATTAGTGAGTTGTTTCACTACAGTTTTATTATTTTCAAGAACATGAAGAGATTGTCTCCTAATAGGTTATTTTCAAGTAGTTGGAGTTCCCAACAGAAACCAGCTGGCATGTAGAAGTACACCTGTGCCCATGTCAAGTACGACAGACTTCTACTGTAAACTAGGCCAAGAGAACAAACTTCCAGCGGCAATCTGTGCCAGAGCTGAAAGTTAATACTGATTTTGATTTAAGATACAGGGAAACAACAAAGATGAAAGAGCAAATGGCAAAAAGTGAGGCTGATAAGATGACAATTCATATCTGCATGGCATTTTATAGTTTATAAACTTGCCCCCATTTTAAAGAAGAGCAATGAATAATCTGCCCAAGGTGGTATTGGCAATAACTGATCGTAGGCATGGTACCTTGCGTGAATGAGCATTTAGTAAAGTTGACTGGATGAATGGATGAACAGATGAATGGATGGATGGGTAGGTGGGTAGGTAAATGGGTAGATGGATGGGTGAGTGGTTGAGTGGATGGGTGTGTGAGTGGTTGGGTGGGTAGCAGATCCGAAATACACACTCAGTGCTTTTGATTTCAAGCCTAGTATCTTTTTCACTGCAACACAGTTGTTGAGAACGAAAATTTAAATGGCTGCACGTCTCAAACAAATCCATCTAAGTAAGTTTTTACTAAGAAAGTAAAGTTTCTTGTGATAAGATGAAGACCATTCACTTTTAATTGATGCAAAACAAATACTTCCAAATTCTCAATCACTTAGACCCAAGGCCTTATGCCTAATATCCCTTTGCAAAAACTAATAATTAACCAAGCATAATAGAGATAGATTTTTTTTTAAAGTAAAGCTTCTCTTAAACATCATTTGCTAAGGTATATTCCCTTAAGTAATTCAATTTCCAGGATGTCAAACAAAATTCAACTAAGGTAAAGAAGAATCAAATAATTTTCTGTTTAGAGCCTTCAAGTCTTCAAATCCTAAATTATCTCGAATAAGTTAAAAAAAAAAACTAGTCTACTTGAAAGGGTCATCATACCTTATGCTCAAAACAGCACAAGCAGGAATCAGATACTGAACACCTATAATAAGAAAAATTATTGGGCCGGCCCGGTGGCGCACTGGATAGTGCGCCGCTTGGGAAGCGCGGCGGCGCTCCCGCCCGAGGGTTCGGATCCCACATACAGACCGGTTCCCGCTCGCTGGCTGAGTGAGGCGCGGGAGCAACACCAAGGCTTGCAATCCCGTTGCCGGTCCCCGGTCCGGTACGGGGGCAACACTGAGGGTTGCGATCCATTGCCGGACACGGAAAAAAGACAAAAAGACAAAAAAAAAAAAAAAAAGAAAGAAAAATTACAATTGATCTGTTTTCAGCAGTAATACCTATGGAAGATATGTATGAAGATAGTGACTAAGCATTTAAGAGTAAATTTATCTCTGCACTTCTAGAGAAAAGGGAGGTGCCAAACAGGCCCTCGTCTAAGCACCAAGTGCAGGCAGCAGAGGCCCACTAGATGTCCCACAATCTGGACATCAGGAGATTCCACTCCTGATAACAACAGGCTAGACAATTCAGACCAACTCAGCCACCAAGAACAACTAGAAAACATTGACAAAGTACTTTTAAAATCTGTTCAAACATTACAGAGCTAACGAGGCACTGAAGAACTACAGGGTTACAATCTAGCAAAAGTAAATCAGAGACATGAGCCTGGCATAAAATTTCCCCTAAAGTTGCCTGCAGATTCCAGAAGAGCTGACCAAGAGGCTGAGAATCTGAGCAGAGCCTTTGACATATTCAAAGGATTAGGTATGAAAAAAACCTGTGGTCCAGTGTCCCCATGGATGGTGAATCCCAGAGGCTTCGGTTGGGACCCCAAAGGATGACACACTAAGCGAAGTTGGACTGAGGACAAGCAGCCTCACAGAGACAACAGCCCAGATTTGGACCACATCAGTCCCCGCAGCTGCATTTAAGCAATTCTCCTACCAAAATACATTCCTTGTCACTCCTTGTTCTGTTCCATGTTTCTCCACCTTTGTGTGATGGAAATCCTCTTCCCTCTGACAGCCGTCTTTGCATATCCTGATAGCCCCAAAGTCATCGTCTCAGTTCAAATGCCACCTCCTCCATAACACCGTCCCTGGTTGCCCTAACTGAAAGCAAGTACTCCTTCCTCTGAACTCCAGCGTCCTCTCTATCCTGAGACCTGGGCTCACTGCACGTTACCCTGCACACAGGCAGAGAAGCCACGTGTGGCACTCTGAGCTTTGGCCCCTCCACCATCCGGCTGAATGACCTTCACCACATCACCTAACCCCTATGAGCTTTAGCTTCTTCCTCCCTAAAATGAGATTAATTAGAACACATAAATTGTAGGATTATCTAGAAGAATAAATGAATTACTGCATATGAAGTATTTATTACAATGCCTGGTACATGGCAAAAATAGCTATTATTATTATTATTACTTCATCAACTTGTGCCCATGTCTTAGATTCCTCAGGTGACTTAGAACTCCCTGAAGACTAGCTCAGTAGATATTAACTAAACAAGTTAAATTACAGAATCATAGTTGATATTTAATTTACGCACAAATGCTCAACAAAAATCCCGACATCCATTCAACAACCAACTCCTGGTTACTGAAATTCCATTGTGTGTCTCTGTGCAAAGACTTATTTGCAAAGACTCAATCAAAAGCTGTTAAGTTTGAATGAGTTAATTTTCTCTCTTTTTTCTCATTATTGCAGCACAATGGGCACAATTTATAAAACGTCACCACTACACCATGATGTCTGCTATGAAAAGAACTACTATTATGAATACAGATATTTGCAAAACATAAACTCCACATTTTTTAGCATCCTGCCCTGGAAACTAGGTCAAGTGGAGCCTGTCGGTGAGCATGTACTGAAGACCACTCTAAAATGGAAACCAACTCAAGGGACTCAATGAGATAACTGGTGTAAAAATACCTTTGAAAAATACAAATCTGCAATGTCTTGGGACTAGAAGGACCTGGCATATCAGCACTTTGCAAAAAAGACTAAAAATTACATCTGAAATTTGCCTCCTTTTTGGGCATGACCCCAAAACCTCAAAGAAACCTCAAAAACCTGTAATCTCCAAGCTCAGAAAAATAGCAGAAAAGTCACTCTATGGCTTCTTTACAGACTAAGGAATTCTGTTCTGTAATTCAAGTGAAGATGGAGAAGACACGCAGTATATAAATTACGAATGAGCGTAGTAGGCAAAAGCCAGCACCTGGAAGACTGGAAGTTAAGCCCTTAGCCCATGCAAGGACAGAGCTGGAGAGAAAAAGGGGCGGCTGCAGGAGTATGGCAAGAGATTGCATGGAAGGAGGTGTTGTGAGTAGGGACCCAAATCGCTGGGAACGCCTGCAAAGGAATCTTTCCAGTTGTGATAGGGTGGAGGGGAAAGAATTATGTTCAATCAATCAGCCAATTTTTTCTGCTAACACAGGCTATCACAAATAGAACAGAGAACAGATTGGGATGACAATTAATAGAAAGACAGGACAAAAAAAGTTACAAACAGATGGAGGCAGCCTAGTAGGAGGACCAAAGAGTTTAATGGATTTATCAAGACAGAAGATACTTAAGAATGGTAGGAGTCTGGTAGATCACCATGAATAAAATTGAGCTTCTAGAGAATTTCATAGTTACCATTTATAGTGCTCAATTTTCCTATGAAGGGCATCTCTGTCGGCAATTCAGAAACACAGTTTTGCATGCTAAAATAATACTTCTCTCTTGAATAAGCCATATCACAACTATAATGACAATTACGGAAGATGACAGCTGAGAGCAGGGTCTGCACAGTGGAAAGAAAAAGCAAAATCACAATAAAAATAACTCCACTAGTAAGGGTTGGCAGCAAGTGCCCCATCCTTGCGTGGCACCAGGTACTCGGTGCACACAGGCTAACTTACTCCTCATACCCTGCAAGGTAGGCATTGGCTTACTATAGATTCTACAGAGGAGGAAGCTGAGGTTCTAAGAAGACAATTAACTTGCTCATTACTACACAGCTCATCAGAAGCACAACAAAACTAGAATTCAGGACCATCGGATCTGTCACTAACCAGCAAAACTGGGCAAAATAATACATTTTTCAGTCCTAACACTGAGCTTCTATGATACATTCCAGCTCAGG